AGCCTCACCCACCGGAAGCTCAACTTGGGGGACAGGCAAGGAGGGAGGGGCCCTGCCTGGCGCCCCACCCTACACTGTGGCTGTCACCCTGCCGCTTCTCAGCTCTTTTTCTAGCAACTCCCCAGGGACTTCTCTGGGACCCGGGGCTGCACTGCTGCAACCATGTTTCGCAGGAAGCGCAGCGTCTCCTTTGGGGGCTTTGGATGGTGGGTGATAGAAGGGGCCAAGGCTAAAATGAGAGTGTACTTGGAGGGTGGGCTTTGTTGGGTGGCTTGGCTGCAGGGCCTGAGACCTGGATCTGTGGGGAGGGCTTTCAGATGCCAGGTAGAGTTGGAGGATTTCTAGGGGCCATCGGAGGCCAGGTTCTGCCTCATTGTCAGAAGCAAGGTCTGCAAGAGATCCAGAAGGTCAGGGTGGCTGCCAGTGTGGGCGTGAGTGTGAGACCGCAGTGGAACGTATATGCCTGCGTTAGTGTGTGCATACCTGTGGCTATTTGCGTGTATGTGTGATGTGTCTGTAATCTGAGACCATGTGTGGCATGTGCCTGACTGGACAGATGTGCCTTTGAGTATGACCACGTGTGTGCTCTGTTCCGGAGTGAGTACCTACTTGCTCCTCTGGTGTCCTGCATGCACGTTTGCTCCTCTCCATGGCAGGAGACCTCCGGGCTGCCACTTCTCTGGGGTGAGTGGTGAGAGGAGGGGCAGACCTGTCGTCAAGTTTGCCATCGTCTCTGACCCACTCTTGCTCCATTCAGCCCTGCGTCTAGCCCTTAGCTTATCGTCTGAGCCATTTTTGGCTGCTGAGCTTCTGTCTGCCTCCTCAGAGGCTGAAGATGGCCTCAAGTCAAAGGCTGCTCTGCCCTTACCAGCTGCATGCAGCTCAGCTAGCTGTGTGTGCAGCCCAGTGGCTTCCCTTGTCAGTTTCTGTTCAGCTGCTGGGCCCAGGGAATTGTTACACTGAGGGAGGGTGTCTGGGGTACTGACTGGAATGATGGCTGGCACTGGGGGGTGGTGGTGGCAGGAAGGTTGGGGAGACACAGAAGGGGTATGAGGAGAGGGCTTTGTTTCTCTGGTCAGTGACTGGCTCCTGGCTTGCTTTTTCCATTCTCCTTTTCCCTCTTTCTGAGAGCACTTTGCCATCCATTCTCTTTCAGGAAGGGATTCTGGGCACTCTGTGTTTGGCAACTGGGGCAGTGAAGATAAGTGTTAGAATAGCAGTGTAATGCCTGCACACAGGTCATGCCCAATGCTGGGGGAAAGACTGTTGTTCTTGATGGTGGGTCTGGGTTTGACTCACACAGTCTGCTTCCTGCTCTTGGAGGGATGTGTGAAGTTGGGCTGGGATCCCTGCTTGCCAGGGCCTAGGTAGTGGGATCTTGTTTCCCCAGACCTGTCTGTGAAGCGTGGCACATGCAGAGGGCCTCTCATCAGAAAGCTCACTTTGCAAGGCTTAGGTCTTAGTCTGTGTTTTAATTTATGCAGCATGTGTGTGTGCGCGCGCGAGTACATGTGTGCATGTGTGTGTGTGCACATGTGTGCATGTGTGTGTATGCAGGTGTATGCGTATGAGTGAACAGATATGTAGAGATTAAAAAGACACCTTCAAGTGTCATTCCTTAAGCACTGGTCACCATTTATTTGTTAATTTGTTTATTCATCTCTAAAGTTTTCAGTCTGAGTCTTCTCCACAGAGATGTGCTGACCACCATGGCAAGTCAAGCCACCATAGAATCTCTGCTCCTTTAGCTATTGCCCACTCTCCTGTTCCCTTTTGTGCCGGCACCAGCCCCAGCCCTTGTGGTCTCCTGGCCTTCTTCGTTCTGCTCTCACACCCCCTTCCCTGTTTTCCTGAGCTCCTGTCCTTCTCAGGCGGGCTGTGTCTTGCAAGTCTCTGTCTGGGCTCACTTTTCTCTAATCCAAGGAATCACGAATCTTGCCGAAGCCAGTTGTCTCACCACCACCCAAATGGGTTCTGAATCCAAATACAAAGAAGACATCTGGTGCCATCTTGTATGTTTTGGCTAGTTTCCCCAGATTCTGACTTAGGTACTGCTGACTTCCTAGGGTGAAATAGATAGTTGGTCACAAGCTTCCTGGTCTAGAGTAGGTTCTGTGTTATTCATGATGGTGGGTCAAGCAGCCAAGCAGGAGAAGAGCCCACTCACCTGTTTATGTTTGAGACAGGGTCTCTAACTGGTATAGTTTTCACTGATTGACCTAGACTGGCTGGCCAGAGAGCCCTGGACTTCTCCCTTCTCTACCTCCCCAGCCCTGGCTTTCATAGTGTGTGCCCCAACCTTTGGCTTTATAAAAAATATGCCTTCTAGGGCTTTATTTTTTTTTTAAAGATTCATTTATTTTTATATGTATTGGTGTTTTGCCTTTGTGTATGTCTGTGTGAAGATGCCAGATCCCCGGAACTGGAGTTACAGACAGCTGTGAGCTGCCGTGTGTGTGCTGGGAATTGAACTGGGGTCCTTTGGAAGAGCAGCCAGTGCTCTTAACTGCTGAGTCATCTCTTAGGGCATTAATTAAGGTCTAAAACTTGCAAAGCAGGCACTTTACTGACCGAATTTTTTTCACAGCTCTTCACATTTTTATTTTTTATTTTTTTGTTCAGCCTCAACTAGCAGGTCTGAGGTTTAGAGCCTCTAAGGAAAACTGGCTGATGATCTCAGGTAGAGTTTCAAAAGCGCCATTGTTGTCAAGGTAGGGAGCCAGTGGCTTCGAGGCAGGCATGTTGAACTGAGTGGGATGCTTCTGGGGAGAGAGGACCTGGGGACTTGGCTTCCTGAAGGGGACAAATACCAACCCCACAGCCCTGCCCAAACCACAAACTCCCAGCGCCATACTCTAGCATGGGAACCCTGGTAGGCAGGTTTCTGGGCGGGAGAGATGTGGGCTCAGGGACCAGCAAGGTCTGCTGTGGTGAGGAGTCCCATCTGACCAGGCAGAAGTTGGGAGGTTACACATGAGGACAGGACTTACCGCCTCATGAGGACAGTGCCTCCACCTCAACTACTGCGGAGCTTTGAGATCAGGAAGTTTTCCTGGGTTTCTCTGGGTCTCACTTTCCCCATGTATCAATGGGGACCTCTTGCCATAGCATAGGACTGGTAGAAGAATTAAGAGAGTCCTTGAGAAGTTGTAGGATATACGGGCTTGAGGTCACGGGTCACCATTGGGTAGCTCTGGCTGTGAGCATGCTAGCAGGGTGAGGGGTTCTGACTAGTGGATAAATATGGCTCTGTTGGGTTCAATAGGAGGGGCTGAGTGTCTGCCCTCATGGTGGAAACCTAAGGAAGGAGCCTGGGTAAGGTCTGAGGAAGAGCTTGAGAGGGACATAAGGCCACACACCCTGGGTGTAGCTGGCTCTGCTGTGAGGGACTGAGATGGGTGGTGCTGGAGGAGTGTCAGAGAGAGGGGATCCTGTTGTCCATTGGGAGGACTCTCACATGGTTCAGAGCTTATTGCCAGCTGGGGATGTCTGGGCAGCCATGCCCTTGCAATGTGGACCCTTCTCCTTTCTGCCTTCTTTTTCCTGAGAGTCTGCCTATGGGAGGGAACTGAGCTGGCTGGCTGGGGCCTGAATTAAATGACATTGATGATAATAACACTGATGGTGGTGGAGACACTGATGGTGATGGTGATGCTTAGTTGACACTGGTAGCGACGGTGGTGACATTGAAGGTGGTGGTGGCGGCTCTGGGGTGACACCGATATTGGTGGTGACACAGATGAAGATGGGTCATGTTGGTGACCATGGCGGTAATGCTGCTGTCAGTGATGGTGACAACACCGATTGTGGTGATGACGTGGGTGATGATGACACTATTAATGGCAGCGGTGACGCTGGTTGTGATAGTGACAGTAGGCAGTGATGATATTGTCAGTGGTGGTGGTGATGACACTGGTGTGATGGTGACATGGGAAGCAATGACACTGCCAGTGATGAGGATGGCCCTGATTGTCATGGGGACACAGGCGTTGATGACATTGCTAATAGTGGTGGTGACACTGGTGTGATCTGAAATGGTGATGGTGACACTAGTAGTGAATGTAGTTACTCTTGCTATGATGGTTTAGATGTTGACGACAGTTAGTAATGGTGGTGACAATGGTGTGATGGTCACACAGGTGGTGATGACACCACTAGTGGTAATGGTGACACTGGTTGTGATGTGACAGTGGATAGTGATGACACTGTTAGTGATGGTGGTGACACAGGCTGTGAAAGTGACACAGGTGGTGATGACTACTAGTGATGGTGGTGGCACTAGTCACAATGGTGGCATGGGTGAAATGACCTGTAATCAATAGAAGACAGGGAGAACACTGCCCCCTGTTTCTCTGATGGGGAAAGGAACCTTCTTTCCAGCCATAAGGGCTGGCATATGAGGGGGTAAAAATAGAACCTCACACACTGCCTCCTTTGCCAGAGAAGGTGGTGCAGGCAGGGGCGGGGAGCGCGGCTGTGTGCCTGCAGCGAATGTGCTCTTCCCTGCTCCAGTTTGACCCACCCTGCCGCTCTCCTTGGAGTCTGCTGTTGGCTTCTATCCCAGGGGTGGGACTTGCCTGATGGACAGAGGAGCATCTCATGGAGCAGGAGAGCTCCTGTGGCTGAGGTGCTTGTATCTCCTGTGGCGCACACAGAATGTTGAAGGCTCCAGGGCAGCGTTTCTCAGCCTGTGGGTTGTGGCCCCTTTGCAAATATCCATCTCCAAAAATGTTTGCATTACAATTCATAACAGCAGCAAAATTATAGCTATGAAATATCAACAAAAATAATTTTATGGCTGGGGTCACCATAACATAGGGAACTGTATTAAGTGGCCACTGCGTTAGGAAGGTTGAGAGCTACTGCTCTAGAGTCGGACCTGGCAGGAGAGTTCACCCCTGCGAAGCCTAGTTTCAATCTCTGAAATGCCAAGATCCCTAGTATCTTTCTGTTTCAGTTTCATTTCTGCTGCTGTGACCAAAAACCTGACAAAAGCAACTTTAGGGGAGAAAGGATCACTGGGAGAAGTCAAGGCAGGAACTTGAAGACAAGCCTGCTTGCTAGTGCACACAGCATTATCTCTGACCAAGGAGCTCATCTCACAGTCAAGAAGTATAGCTGGAACCATGGAGGATGCTGCTGGCTGGCAGGGTTAGGCATGCATGTGTCTGTGTGTGTGTATATAGAAAGTTGTTTTAATTCTTCTTTTGTTTATTTTTAATTATATGTATGTACCTATGTGGAGGTGTGTGAATATGAAAGTGAGTGCTCCCTGAGGCTAGGAATGTTAGATATTCCTGGAGCTGAAGGTACAGGTGGTTGTGAGCCCCGTAATATGGGTGCTGGGAATTGAACTTGGGTCCTCTGGAAGAACAATGTGTGTGTTTAACTGCTGAGCCAGCTTTCCAGTCCTCAGCTAACTTTCTTATACAGTTCAGGACTACCTACTTATGGAATGGTGCTGTCCACAGTAGGCTGGACCCTTCTATATCAATTATCAGGCAAGGCAATCTCCCACAGACGTGTCACAGGCCACTCTGATCTAGGTAATTCCTCAGCTGAGATTTTCTTTCTAGATAGTTTTCAGTTACATCAGGCTGACAGTTAAAGCCACCCAGGAAAGCTTCCCATAGGGGTATGTGTGGCTCAACCCTTCTGGAACTCAGATTTCTGTTCCTGGACTGGAGGGAAAATTGCCTCGTAGCAGCTTCCCTGTAGGACAGATGTAGTATGGAGCCGGCAATCCCACACTGACTGAAGCCCTTGTTTTTCTCTTGGCAGGATCGACAAGACCATGCTGGCCAGTCTGAAGGTCAAGTGAGTAGCCCTTTCCAATTCTTTAGAGGTCAGAGATGACAAAGACTGGAGTCCCTGTTACGAAGTAACAAATCCTTGCACCCTGGGACTTGGTCTGTCCATGTTGTGTGTGACAGTTGGCTGCTGTGTACTGTCAGATTCCAGGCTTGGCTGAAGGGGCTTCTGTACTGGAAGAGACTGGATGGGCCTCTTGAGTCCCGGATGTCCAGAGAAAGGCAGAGGCATGAGTGATAGCAGCAGGAACAAGCATGATTGGAATGTGGACTAATGGGTATGACTTTCAGGCTACACTCTTACTGAAAGAAAGATGTATTTTCTGTTATTTGGATTTTTATGTGAAGCCTCAATTCTAAGAAAGCATCTTTTTGACATTTTCTATGTATTGGAAAAACTATGATACATTGTCCGAGGACCTCCTTTTTATATTATCATTGTTTCACTCTATGTGTATGGTGTTTTGCTTGCATGCTTGTCTGTGCACCATGTGTGTATCTGTTGCCCGAAGAGGTGTAGGATTCCCAGGTGCTGGAGTTGCAGACAGCTGTGAGCCATTGTGTGGGTGCTGAGAATCAAACCGGCTCCTCTGGAAGAGCACACGTGTTCTAAACCACTGAGCCATCTCTCTAGTCCCTAGCCCCTAGAACCTCTTAAAACATCATTGGTATGTGTGTGGGATCAACTGACCATTGAGTCCTCTGTTTCTGACTGGTCACCCTGCTAAGCCTAGCCTGGGGGCTCTCTGAGGCCTCCACATCACAAGCTCAGGCCTGGGAACTGTAGGCTTAGGTCTGACACATGGTTGCTGGTCTCTGTGGGAAGGGTGAGCAGAGGCCCCTTTGTCTTGAAACTGCGGTCTTCCCTTTCCTCACCTGCTTCATTCTGTTCCCCTTTCTGTTCTGTAGACTATTTGGTCATTGTCCCAATGCCTTCTCTTCTGTCTTACCCAACTTTAATAATCTTTCATGTGCATGCCTGTCTTGGGTCTGCTCCAACTGAATGAATTGAAAAGGTGGAAAATTCTAGAAGGAAAAAAAAAACATTGATAACAACTGAAGATACTAGATACTTTTCTGCCACATGTGAATAAGTTTGTGCATGAAAATTTGTACAAGGGTTCAGTGGGCATGCACAAAGGCCTGGGTTCATTTAGCAGAACACACACACACACACATACACACACACACACACCACACACACCACACACACCACACACACACACACACACACACACACACACACGCACACTTTTAATGAGTTGACCCTTTTCTTTTTTTTTTTTTTTTTAAAGATTTTATTCATTTATTAGGTATACAACATTCTGTTTCCATGTATATCTGCACACCAGAAGAGGGCACCAGATCTTATAACGGATGGTTGTGAGCCACCATGTGGTTGCTGGGAATTGAACTCAGGATCTCTGGAAGAGCAGTCAGTGCTCTTAACCTCTGAGCCATCTCTCCAGCCCGAGTTGACCCTTTTCAAAGGTGGCTTCTCTTGTTTTCCCTGCTCCAGATCAGCTAAAGTAACTGTCTGGTTGCCAGTGATGCCTCTCCTAGGTAGAGGTGCCAGGGCCAAAACAGTCAGACTTGAAGACTGGCATGCAAGAGGATCAGAATAGAAGGCCCTCTTTCCACTCAGTTGAAAGATGAGGGGTTGTGGAGGAGGGGATGGTGACCAGGCCTTGGAGAGGGATTTTAGTCTCCCCACAGAGTTGAGTGCAGAAATGCCCACAGAGCATCCTTGGTTTCTAAAGCTGATCTCAAGCTGGGGCAGGATGATGGGGCCTCTGTCCACTGGTGTGTGTACCAGTGCGGTCCAGTTTAGGGCAGGTTGTCTATGCAGTACACTGAACTCTTCATTTCTTTTTGTTCTGTTATATTTTGTTTGTGGTCCTAGGAATGAACTCAGGAGTTTGTGTATGCTAGGCAAGTTCTCTCCCACTGAGCTCTATCCAGCCCTCTTTTTAATTTTGTATGGGTGGGGGAAAATGCCATGGCACTTGTGTGACAACCAGGGGACAACTTGCTTTGGTCAGTTCTTTCCTTTTGCCATGTGGGTTCCAGGGGTTGAACTCTGGTCATCAGGCTTGGCAGCAAGTGTCATCTTGACGGTCCTGTTTTTCTTTAGCAAATATGTGTGTGTGTGTGTGTGTGTGTGTGTGTGTGTGTGTGTGTGTGTGTGTTTGTTCAGAGTCCAGAAGAAGGCATAGGATCTCCTGGTACTGGCATTACAAGCGATTGTGAAATGCCCATTGTGGGTACTGGGAATTGAACCCAGGACCTCTAGAAGCACTCTTATCTTATTTTATCTTATCTAGAAGTGCGATCTCTCCAGCCTTGTTCTTTTTACTTTTTAAATGTGTCACAGTGTCCATTAAGTTGTCCAGATTGGCCTTGTATTGCATTAACTTTTCCTGGGGAGTTGTGGGTCTGTTCATACCAGGTAGGGTACCAATGACAGACCAAAGAAATGACCTCGTGCAAATGTAGCTTGGTGTACCAATGAATTGAGTTGGGGTGACTCACAAGAGCATGGCTGAGGGGTTATCTGCAAGAGTGTGGACAACTTATTGGTCACTATGCCACCTAATGAAGGTCTTCCCTCCCTAGCAACTGTTAACTGCTTGTTTTTCCTTCGGGGGAAGGGCTTGTAAAAGGTTTCGTGTACTGGTAAATCCTTCATTGCCTCCTGCACCCTCTCTGCCTTTTATGAGGGAGTACTTTTTGCCCAGTCTTGTGTCTCATGTGGATAATCAGAGATCCTGTGATGGCAATGGCCATGTTATGCCTGGAGGACAGAGAGAACAACACCTTGAGTCTGTAATCTTTCTGGCTCAGCCTCTCCAGCAGCTGGGTTGACAGGCTTTTACCTTCTGGCAATATGACTGGCCCTTCTACAGCTTTACAGGGGGTTTGAGGTGTTAAGCAGGCTTGCTGAAAGACATGGAGTAGAGAAGTGTTTTTTTGGGTGCTGCCCTGAGCCATCTAGTGCAACTACAACAGTGGTTTATGGAGGCCTTGTTTGTTTGTTTGTTTTTTTAAAGATTTTATTTATCTATTTATTATGTCTTCTGCCTGCATGATAGCAGAGGGCACCAGATCTCATTCAAGGTGGTTATGAGCCACCATGTGGGTGCTGGGAACTGAACTCAGGACCTCTGGAAGAAGAGTCAGTGCTCTTAACCACTGGGCCATCTCTCCAGCCCGCCCTTGCTTGCTTTAAGCAGAATTATTTGTAATCTGTAAAAGAGTGGGGTATAGGGTGGTGTGAAGAGGTGGGGGGATGGGCCAGTGCTGAGAGATGGATCTCAGTAGGGGGGTCTCTGAATATCTGGGGGACAGTCGAGTGCAGGCATGGGGACATGGCATTGAGACGCTGGTGTCCCGCAGGGTGTAAGACTGAATTTCTAGCTTTAAGATCTGTTGATTCCAGGAAACAACGCTTTAAACTGGATGTGGAGGCACAGACCTGTAATGGCATCATTCAGGAGAGAGAGGCCGGGAGATCTGGAGTTGAGGGGAAGTTCCAGAGCTCAAGGTCATCCTTGGCTATTGCCTAGGCTATGTGAGACCCTGCTTCACAAAAGAAAAAGAACAAAAAACAAAAACTTTGGTGTGTGGTCTGGTTAGGCTAAAGGTGGGAAATGATCCCACCCACTATGCCTTAAGGAACCCAAGAGAAGCTCAGGAGGGGTTGGACCAGATGCTGGAGATCCATGGAAGTTCAAGTATAAATTTGAAAGAGAAGAACAAAGTTGGGGGCTGGAGAGAGGGCTCAGAAGTTAAGAGCACTGGCTGCTCTTCCAGAGGACCTAGGTTCAATTCCCAGCACCCACATGGCAGCTCACAACTGTCTGTAACTCCTGTTCCAGGGGTTACCCTCATACAGACATACATTCAGAGAACACAACAATGTACATAAAATGCAAACAAATAAAAATACATATATATATTCTAGTATATATATATATGTATATATATATATATACTATTTAGTATATAAATATATATATACTAAAAAAAGAGCAAAGTTGGAAGAATATATTTCCAATATTAAAATTTATCACAAAGCTATTGCTGGCATGGTATTGACAAAAATCTAGTACTATATAGATCAATGGAATAGAATTCTGAGTTCAGAAATAAATCTTTACATACATGGTCAGGTGATTTTTTTTTAAAAAGCAAAACTGCAAGACAACTTAATGTAAAATTAAAAAATGTTAATTAATTAATTAATTAATTTGAGACAGAGTTTCTCTGTGTAGCTCCCACTGTCCTGGAACTCTCTCTGAAGACCAGACTGGCCTTGAACTCAGATTTGCCTACCTCTGCCTTCTAAGTGCTGGGATTAAAGGTGTGTGCCACGATGACCTGGAGACTTATTTGGTTTTAAATGTATGAGTGTTTTGTCTGCATATATGTATGTGTATTATGTGTATTCATGGCTTTTGCAGAGACCAGAAGAAGGCATTGGAGTTAGAGATGTGAGCCACCATGAGAAGCTACATATCCCATCACCATCACTGCAAGAGCAACAAGTGCTCTTAACTATGAAACCACCTCTTCAGCCCCTAATAACGAAACATTAAAACAATGAGATATTACTGCATGCTCCTTGCAATGGCAATTATCTTTACCATCATCATCAAATACAATGATTGCAACTCTCATGGCAGACATATAAAATGGAGCAGCTGCTTTGGGAAACAATTTAACAGTTCCCCAGGAGGTGAAAGCATAGAGTCCTGGCCAGTAATCAGTATTCTCAGGTACACAGTGAAGGGAAATGAAAACATGGCTGTGTAAAGCCCTGCACACTAATGTTCATGGCAGCATTGTTAATGATAACCCCAAGGGGGAAACACCAAAATGTCTCCCAGCAGGTGACTAGGAAAAAGGTGGTATATCCATAAATGGAATATTTTGGAATAAAAGCAAGCTATATTAAAAAAAGGAGCCAGACACTGAAAACCACTTCTTAGACCCTTCCACTTATAT